TGTACTATCTATATTATCAGCCTCTGTGCTTCAAACATGATGCCAATCCTCCACTTGGAGATAATATTTCCAGACTTAGGGGGGCAGGAAAGGATATCCAACTACATTTGAATTTCATATCAACAACAATAGTTTAGTCTAAGTATGTCCCGTGCAATATCTTGGGCATACGTATATTAAAAGGTTATTTGCTGTTTATCTGAAATTAAAAACATAACTAGGTGTTTTGTACTTTATCCTGGTTTTGTACCTTCTACCTGGAGATCAACTTTATGGATGCACTTTGAAAACTGTGGCGTGCTCCCCAAAGTCAAACTCCTTTGTTACTAGTCCCAACCCTGGGTCTCAGTGGTGACTGGCACTATCCTGGGACCCTGCCCAGATTTCACAGACATTAGATCCAGATAGCACCCAGCCCTAGCAGCTTTCCATGGCCCTTGTGCAGATCAGAAAAGCTCTAAGCACTAAAAATTCCTAAATAAAGTTCATTGAGATTCAGAGAAGATGATATTAACCTATGCCAGTTCAGAGCTAGACTCTGGGAAATTTTACTGTAGAGATATGGGCCCTGCCCTCAAGGTGTCCCACTGTGGTTGAAGAGACTGTCACAGTAAAGTGTAGGAGCAGGAGACAATTTCCACTTATGGGCACCTCCGGCTCATCAGGCACTGTGCTGGCTATATCCCTAGGGGTGGTCTTATACACTGCCTTCAGCACCTTGCCCAGGAATCATGGGTGCCATGCAGCTTCCAATGAAGTGGCTAGAAACCACCAGGGAGCTCTCAGCCTGCTGTCAGTGGTGCCAGGTGCAGCACTGGCTTCTCACTGAATGAATAATTAAAATTGCAAATTGCTTATATCAGGATAAGAAGCCCTGTTTTTTCCCATGTCTCACCTTCCTCAACAAGGTAACTTAAGACTGATCAAGACGTTCATGCTTTGGGGACAGGAAGAGAGCCAACTGGACCCAAAACATGACCCCCGTCAGAACACATGTTAACAGCCAGAATAATAGCAGAAAGTGGCTCTATTATTTCTCTTTTGTGGACAAAGGGGGAAGGACAGTGTCCGAGTTTCCTTTCCCTAATAAAGGTCTGTGGTTCTACCAGCACAGTCGGCTACCACCTCCCAGACCACTTTCACTTCCCAGACTTTCACTTCCATCCCACCAGTGGCTGCCCTGCCCTGGGTGACTAACACCCGGCTTTCGTCTCATTGCGAATCTCTTACCTCTTCTCATTTTTCCCCATCATTCCAACAGATAATAGTAATCAACTTTCTCTCACTGCAGAAGAGTCCTTCGGAGAGAATGTAATCCCCTCTATAAATAAGCAGTGGAAACAGAATTCAACAAGGATTTTCCAGGTTCTAAGAAAAACAGAGCAGGCTGTAACAAGTTTAAGGATGCCACACTACTTCTGACTTCCCACACCACTTTTCCCAACTTCACCTCTGGTGCACTGGAAGTGCCATTCCTAAGCACTGTTAATGGTATTAACACCACCTAAGAATGGTTTCTGCTCTTCTTTTCCCAACAAGTTATTTTCCCTTGTGCTTCTCCACCTGGCCTTGCCCAGGTCTTGGCTACAGTGATCTTGACTCCCCTCTCATGTAGAGTGTGCAGTGGAACTCTCTGTAAGGAAGGCTGAAGTCTCGGGGCCAGGAGAATGCCCATATCAGATATTGTTTGTGTTGGAGTCAGCTTTCGTACCATTTAGTTCCATGATCCAGGAAACACAATTTGGTGCCTTGGACAACTGAATCCATAAATTAGCAAAAAGGATCCTACTGGACTTGCACGTCCTGCTTCTATCATCCTTTCATGCCTGGAACACATTGTTAATTGTTTTTCTAATAAACAGTGTGTCTTCTTCCATTCCCGAAGTCCTCCCGAAGGGAGGCTCGATATAACCATTTTTTTAAAACTTGCTTTTTCAAGGTCTTCATTTTACACCACTAACTTGTGGTTAAAATTATCATCTTTGTTATTTCTGCATTATCTGTTTGGGGTGTGTTTTTATTGTTCATTTGCTGTATTTTGTTACCATCCTTAAGAGATTCTAGGCAATGGACATGTGAGTCATATATGCAGCACCGCACTCATGTACACATGTCATACATTGTGCTTGTGCTGCACACACACCAGTTTTTCCCGACTACCAATCTGTTTCAGTTATAACCCCCAAGCATAGGGTTATAACATTTATTTCCGAACTGTGTCCTTCTTACATGGGATCAAGGATGATCCGCAGACAGTCGGTGGTGACTGACAAGGAGAGACGTTTTGGGGAGCAGGGTTTGAAAGGGGAAGTCACTGTGAGGCAAGAGCAGTCACCCGTTTGGAAGGAGCATGGACAAGACTGGATGGGCTGCAGTCCAAAAGAAACCCCCCCAGAACTACAGAATTTTTAAGTGGGGGTTTCTCTGTGAAAATGGTGGAGGGGAATTGGTTGAATGTATCTCATTTTGGGGAGAACAATGTTATTGACCCTATTAGTTAGGAACTCACAATCAAGGGAAAGGTAATGGGAGATTTGGGAAGGAATGCGGACAGGCAGGATGGAATATTCTAGGTGACAAAGAAGAAGCATTAGAGGCATAAAGCTAAGAATGAGGTCAAATATCAGAGTTCAGAACCAGAGCCACATCCTGTTTAGTGTCCCACTTCAGTCATTGTCGAGTTTGACGTGGTTACCAGGGCGAACACTGACTGAAGGTTAACCGTGTGTTGGCACTCTGCTCTGCAGCACGATGACCTTAACTTTTAACTCTCGCCAGAATTCTATGGAATGGCTGTTCTTTGTCATTCCCATTGTACAGATGTGGAAACCAAGGCTTAAAACTACTCTTTATCATTTCCATTTTAGATATGAAAACCAAAGTTCTCACAGTTTGAGAGTGAGAGCTCCAGTTCATCCAGCTCCAGAGTCTATCGGGATAACTACCACTGTCTTCCTCTCGGAGGGTCATGTTTTCAACCTGTTCGTGGGTCAGGAGTTTGAGGTCCTCCCGCCAGGCTGCTCACTAAAAGACACATCAGCCAGCATTGCTGTAGTAGGTCAAACTTTTGCCCCCCCATCTTTTGTGGAGTATAAAGATGATTAATTGCTTACAGAGAAATTGATCTAACCACTGTTTTGTGAAAAACACAGGATTTCCATATCTTTAGAGAGACTTCTAGAAAAAATTTGAATTAGGAAACAAAGTAATTGAATTTTTCTGTCTTTCTTGGCATTTTTAGCTACTGATTAATGTCGAGTCCTGGGCGTTGGAAAGACTGAGGGGGATCAATAATAATATTAACCCTTAGGAAAAGGTTTGCTGTGAGAAGAGATTGTAGCTCAGGTCAGGGTCTTTGAAGGAAAACCGTCAAAGGTTATATAGTTCACGGATGCCATCTCCATTGGCAGGGGGTGGGGGCAGGGCAAACTCTATTGCTGCTGTCACCTTTATCATTTCCGCAGAACCCTAGCTCTCTCCTGGTCTGAGAGAGATAGGAATGACACGTTGAGATTGGGAGGGGAGAAGAAAGAGTAGGGCTGGCAGCCACAGCCAGGCGACAATATCGGGTATAAATGGCGCCCTCCCCTGTCACCCTCCCAGCAGGCAGATCGTCAGCCCCCCAGCTCTGTCCTATTGAGAACGCCCCTTGTCTCTCAGGACACAGCCGGTTATGAGGATTAACCCCTCCCACACCCTCACCCCCAACCCTGGCATCCTCCCTCCTTCCAACAGAGCTTTGGGCAGACATGACTGACAAGAGTACCACAGGCGATGATGTCACAAAGAGAGGGGGCAGTGTGCCCTCCTAGACCATCTTTCACTCCAGTGGACTCGCCTTCACAGACAAATTGATTTGCAAAGGTTCAGGCTGCCAGCCCGGCCTGCTTTGCATACAGAACGCTCCCTGGTGACACAATAAAAAGTGGCCAGGCTAACAGAGGAGCACAGCGGGGTCTGGCCGGTTCAAAGTCCAAACTCCACACCCCCTCACCTCAGTCTGGTTTGAAAGGTCACTGTGTGTCTGGGAAAATAGTCGCAGGATACGATCCTTTATTAAAGGTCACTATTTTTCAACAGCACTTAACACATACACACAAATTGAGACTGGAGAGGGGGAAGAAAACAGGGGGCTGCATCGTATTGTATATTGTACTTGCAAGATTTATGTCTTGTGGTCACCAGCAATAAACACACACCACTTCAGTATTAAAGTTCACATTAATCCACTGCTTCTCCCTCCCCTGGAAATCAGCCTCTTCTTTGCCAGGCAGACAAGGGCAACTGAGACTTTTGTTCATCCCTTTTGTCCCTTCCCCATCTTTTCCTTCCCTTGTTGCAAGTTTTTCTAGTTTTGTTTTGTTTTTTGAATTATGGTGGGCGCTGTTGTTGTTGATGCGCAGCCACAAAACTCTACTGAGGGTCGGTCCCTCTCCTGCGCGGTGCGTGCGTAACGTGTGCTCAGCACTCAGAACCAAGACCCTGTGCACTCACCACGCCCAAGACTTGAAGAGTGTGTCTGTGAGTCTGTACGTGCCACAGACGGAGAAGCCAAAGTCAAGCTCTTTTCTGTGCTGCTTGTGAAAATCCAGCAGAGCACCGTAGCCAAGCCAGTGGCCATAAAGCCATCAAGGAGACTGTCCAGCCTGCCTATCCACCGCGTTGTATATTTTATTTGAGTAAATACTTCTAATACGAGCAAAAATAGCCACTGTGCTTTCCTCCAGTGACAGCCAGTCCCTGTTTGGTTCCCAAAGAATGTTAACAATAGCAACCCTTCCATTAATAACAAAAGAGATTACCAGAGAGGTCAGCCCAAGCTATTAGATTAATTTAGGCAAGAATTGCAGAAGAAAAATATTTGGGGGAAATTCTATGAATTTCAAATAGCCAGCCAAATATATAATGGTAAGGATTCCGCTCTGCTCTGTAGCACATTTTTGCAAAGCTTTTGCCAGTGATAGATTTCTGAACTATCAAAAGTACATTATTTTTTTCCGATTAAAACAGCTGTGAAAATATACGAGTGTAACTGTGAAAAATCCAGGGCTTATTGTAATACTTTAAGCAAAACAAGGAGAAAAGATTTTTAAATACAGACTTGCCAAAAGTGAAATATCTAACACGGGAAGAACTAATTCTGTGTGTGCTTCCAATATTTTGGCATAAATACTTTAATCCTCTTGTCCATCCCATTGGCACCTCATCCACAGCTGACTTGTTAAGGGCAAGTTCCTTGGTCATGTCGTCAGCACCTCTCCATAGTTATTACTGTGCCCTCATTAAAACAGCAAGATCACGAACCGGCAGAAGTGAGAAGAGGTAGGGAGGAAGCTGGCTCCTCACTACAGAGGTATCCAGAAAGCCAAAAGAACCTAAAGGAGAAACGAAAAAACATGGCAGAAGTGAAACTGTCTGAGAAGGAGGAGGGAGGAGAGGGAGGAGGGGGGAGGAGAAGAAAGATGAGAAGAAGGCTTCTGGAGGTGGGGCTGAAGTCTGGCTATTCTGTTTTCATGTATCTGTTTATAATAAATACAAAAGGAATCACAAAGTCCAAGTTTAAGTTGCTTACCATGTTCACCCAGTTATGCCATCACGTGGCACATGAATGAAACACATACACACATTCAAACCACACATGGCTTGTCTTCTCAAAAATAATTTTTTTGGGAGGAAGAGGTCAACTTCCCTTGCTTGCACCCCTGATTTGGGCTTGGCTGGTAATGACCTCACTGCGGATCTAGACTCTTCATTCCTTAACCTACTGCCTTGAAATGGGTGACTTTATGAATAAAGTTATTGTATGATTCAAAATCATGGGATGGGGGCCATGCATAACCAAAACAAGATGTTTTTAAGAAAAACTACCCAAAATTCAGCCCCCCAACACTAAAGACAGCATAAAGATTAAAAAAAGCAAAAAAGAGAGAAGAAGCCCTCTTTCCTCTCCCCTGGGCTGCAGCTGGAAACTCAGGGTTTCCGGGTGCTACCCTGATCTCCATCACTCCCGTTCAGACAGTTCTGGGGTCAGGGCTCTGGAGTCAGACAGTGAGGTTGCCAAGTGCTACTATTCCCAATGGGGAGCCCCTGTTTCCAAGAAATGGCCACAAAGACCACAGCCCCTCAAAGTGGTTAGGGGAGAACTTTCTTTCCACCATAGATATAAGCACACCATTCTATAGCCCCCACAGTGTTCAAAGACAGCACACTAATGCATAAGATGTCAGGGCTCAGCCAAGGCATTGCATCAGTCTCCAAAATGAGGTTTTTAGGACAGCAATGGATAAGAAGTTTGGGGATCCCCCAGCCAGGATGGTCCCTCTCTCCCCTCCTCTAGACTCTCTCTCCCTCCCAGCCTTTACCCCTGCACTATCCCCAGCCAGTCGATTAATTCCAGGCTCCAAGAGGGTCTCTGAAAAGAACCACATTCACTGTAGTGACACCCAATGCTAAAGAAGAGAGGAACAAGCAGAGGCTCTTCTGTTGCCAGATGTGGCCAGAAGCCAGTGAGTGTCCTCTGGCCAGGAGGAGTGTACCCTGGTCCCTGGGCAACTGGGCACTCTGCCTTGCTCAGGCTGAGCACAGTCCAGGGATTTAAAGATGTCCTGCATGTCAGAAGGGCTCCCAGCACCTTTTGCACAGCACCGTGCCAGCGCACAAGCCCTGTCCTCTTCCTCCACATCCTGCTTCAGCCTCCTGTCCAGGACCACATTACATTACCCATTACTGCATCTTTCCCACTGTCCCCATTCTATCCCAAGACAACTGTGGTCAGGTACCTGTAGGTACTGCCCATTCAAGTACTTTCCAGGGAAATGTCCCCTCTCATTCACTATAAGATGTGTTTGGACTTTTCCAGGCACAACAAGCCCTAGAGCTTGTCCTTTTGAATGGAGAGGGTCAGGCTAATGCAAAGACGTTCCATGACACAGTGGGCCTTCGGGGCTGAAAAACTAGCATCACTTTTCTCCAAGGCTCCAGGGTTTGGGTCATTTTGGTTTTTCCTATTTTTGTAGGCCGAAAAGAGAAATGTCCCCATTCTCTTCTTGATCTTGCATTATTTAAACCTATCATTACACGGTAGTGTGTGCATGTTTGTGTGTTTGTGCAAATCACACTGGGGGGAGTACTAATGCCATTATCCTCTGGTCACGGGGAGGTCTCAGTTGCTCACAAACTCTGAAGACAAGCAGTTTGTGTCAATGTGTCTAGACTCTCAGCTCCGTGAGGACAGGGACTTTTGTCTCTTTTGTCTCCTGCTCAGTCCCAGCACTTAGCATAGCGCTGGCTCACCAGTCCACGCTCAATAAATATTGTTTGAAAATTTTCACATGCTGCAGAATGCAAGTGCATGACTCAATGCTTTCTGGCATTTCTTTTCTTTTTCACTGATTAGAAGAAAAATTACCTGAGTAGGGGATCAACAAACTCCTTTTTGCTCATTGGGCTTTTCCTTCAAGTGGAAGACAAGGTAAGTGAATACATGTAGCTGTGTATGTGCACATGTGTTGGGGGCAGTTAGTACTGTATGTGTTTTTCTTTTCCCTTATGTCTAGTCCAATCCCTCCACTTCTTTGCTGCCTGGGTCATGCACCTGAGCTCTGTTATAGGAGTCATTACAATGGTTTTGACAGCCTTATGAGTATGGTTCAGAAAGGAGCTGTCGCAGAAATTAGCAAGGTTTGCCAACAGCTCAGCTCAGAGGTGGGGGGAACCCAGGCCAGGATAGGAAGAGTTAATCGAGATGAGTGGGGTGTTATGCAAAGCACCAAATCCCTAAACTCCTGCAAAGATCTTTGATGGCCATGATCAATAGATTCTCAGACCACACTGACATAACCTTGTCATGCCTCAACAAGGGTACTGTGGCTAAAAAGGCATGGGGAGGTACAGAGGTAGGAGGAGGTGGTGGGGAGAGAGAAGAGTGGAGGAGATAAAGATATCACAGACCTTCCCCTCTCCTGCCCCCCAGCACCCCTCCTTTCCACACCCACCCCCTCTTCAACAGGCATCACACAGCAAGTGACTGGTAATGGTTCTTTGGCCTTGTATAGCTTTTAAAATCCTTCAGCTGAAGCATCTCAGCTCCAATCGCCAGCAAAGCTTGAGCACCCTTGAGACCCTGGTGCAGATAATCATCATCCACTCAGTGACAAGAAGCTGAGCGCCGCTTCGGTACCAAGGAGACCGGATGTGGCAGGGCACCAAGGTGCCATCTTAGACGCATGCAAGCAGCCACAGCAGCAGCACGTGGGGATACGTCTGTGTGTGCATGTTCTTCTTCTCCCTTTTCTTCTTCTTCTTCATCTTCTTCTTCATCTTCTCCCTCTTTCCTCGCCCCCTCCCCAGAGAAGCCTTTCCCGAGAGGGATGCTGTTAACACAGCTGCTCTTAGCAGGCTTCCCGTTACCCAGCACCTGCCGGACCAAATTGAATCCTGTAGTCAATACTGTTGGAAAGGAAAATGACATTAATTTGTGTAAAAGTGTAATCAAAAGGTGGTTGGGTGATTTTTCTTGCTTTCAGAGAAATTCGGGTTTGAGTTATGATTATATAAAAAAGAGCTAGCTGATCAGCAGCTTCCTGCCTTCCTCCCAGCACCTCCCAGCGCTCTTTCTGCCGTGTGACAGCATTACAGCTAATGGCATTGCATTATGTATACAATATGCTGTGGATGGTACAGCTGGCTGGGATGGTCCTGCATACTGGGGTGCTGATGGGTATTTACATGCCAGCTGAAAGGTGGAAGAGCGAATATCAAGAAATAAAAGAAGAGCCATCTCTAACATACACAGAACTCAAACCCCCAGCATCTTGAAACAGCGGGTAAATTTCCAGATTGCAAGGGCCCCTGCGTTTATATTCCCTTTCCACCTTAGGCCTTGGGCTCACATTTTCCATTCACAGAGCTCCCTGGCAAATTGAAGATGGTCTAAACAAGGAATGCCACATCCCTTGCATGCTTAAAAATAGCTCTCCAAACAGCCTGAGATATTTTCATTCCATTGTCAACTTTCCATCTCTCACCTTAACGAGACACAGTCCTCGGAGAGGGACAGCTCCGGGCAATTGTCCTTTGCAGGCATGACTCTAAGGCCAAGGCACCATGCCTGAACCCTGTCCCCAGAAGCAGATCAAGGGAGGTTCAGGGAGAGGCAGGCAAGGGAGATGCAGGCACTGGAGGTTTGCGCAAGGGAAGACGCTGTTCCATTTTGACTCCGTGAGGACAGAGGTGGGCACTGCATGTGCAGCTTTGCTGTCCCCCAGGGGCAAATGAATGTTAGGCGCTGACCACTATGCAAGGAGAGGTCACAGTAATGAAGCTGGGGGGCCTGGGAGAATGGGAAAGGAAACCATCTTTGTCCTGAGAGTATGGAAAGTTTGTCAGGAGCCAAAGCAGAGGATTTTAGGATCCCAGAGAGCCTAAAGAAAAAAAAACTACATCTTTAAACAGTTATTGCAGGACTGACCTTATGCTGGGGGCTGAGGGGGCGGAAGCCTGCATGTGAAACTCCAGAGTCTGCAAGTGCAGCCTTGGTGCCTCTCTATCCCCTCATCTACCCACTAGCCCCAACATACACACACACAAGGAAAGCCGTCTTGTGTGTTGCCCCAAATTTGGATTCACATAGTTGATTTGTTCATTCAGTAAAATGTATTTGCCATCTACTATAGGCCAGGCACTGTGGTAGGTCCTGGGGATACAACCATGAAGGAAACTGACACAATTATCTGCCCCTGTGGAATGAACATTCTATCCTTCGGTGAAGGATGAAGCCTTTTGTCAGAGAATGGGAGCTGCAGCCAGCTAACTAAGATGTGACTGAGATCAGTGTTTTCCACAGAATTTTTAGTGGGAGGAGGGAAGGAGCACAGGACACCCAGCTGAGGGGGAATGAGGAAGTGAGGGGCTAGGCAAGGAGGGAGAGGACAGTATGAAGCTGAAGGCACTGAAGCAAGACTCACCTGCTTTGCAATTTTTCTGAGGATTCCCACTGGCAATGAAGAGGTGATCATGCAGGTATCTCTGGAGTTAAATGTTACGGTTCTGAGTTACTATTATATTTAAATGAGGCACGAAGCTCAGCCCAGCTGCTGGTAAGTCTACATGCTAGGGCCAGGTCTAAAGGCGAAACTCCAGGGCTCTCCAATATTCAGACCACTGGAGAAACTTGTCCCTGACCTCCAGACCAGCAGGCCTCTCCTTCCTTCCCCAGGTTGCCCACAAATCTCTGGAATGCCTAGAAGCCCAACATTGGCAACCTACTCACTGAAAAAGATCCATTGATGTATAAATAATAACTCCCTAAATTTCTGGTGTGCTGTTTAAACTTATTGAAAAACTTGACCTTCATCCTCAACCATTGCAGTATCCAGAAAGCCACAGACTTCCACTTAAGCCACATGTCATGCTTCGCCCTGGTGTTCAGATTCACAGAGTCCTCAGTCATAGAAAAGCCTGCTTTATGTCTGAATCATCCTGGAGCTTTTGTCCAGCGACCTCCTTGCCCCCGTGCTATTTCTGGCCTCACACAGAGGTGCCGTCCCTTCGCTCGGCCCTGATTCTTTCAGCGCTCTACCTGCATTATGACACATAATGGGCACTCACCGCTCTCTGGAAAGGTCTTTTCCTCAGTACCTGGAATCAACCGCAATCTCCTTCTCTGACAAAAAGAAAAAAAACTTTAAAATTACTTCGTAGGAATCAAATAGCATCCCCCAAATAAATAGCACCTCTGCAGCACCGTGTGTGTGCGTGCATACACAGACACACACACTCAGGCATGTGCAACCATCCCAAAACTGTTGGCCTGAAAACCTGGCTCTCCCACAGATGCCCCCTCGACATCACTGCGTGAAAGGAGGTCAGGTCTCGGTCTGCAGCATGAGCTCTGTCTGTGGTCTGCCCAGGGTCACTAAAATAAAAGATCATCCAAAGAGCTGAAAGAACCCACGTTACTCAGCATGCACACCACCCAGGGGTGCTGAAACAAAGTTGAAAATACAACCCGGTGGGTGACATCAGTGTGGGATATGAGATGGTGGCTGGCCCAGGGTGCTGAATGGCGTGCTGATCTATTGGGCACAGTTTGGTTATGCAGAGAAATGAGCTGAAGAGAAAGACCCAAATACACAGAGAGAGAAAGAGAGACAGGGAGAAAGATCTCAAGTGAGACCCAGGGATCGAGGACACAGAATGAGTGACAATAGGACAAAGAGGGAAGACAAAAGAGGTGCCTTCTTTTCCTTGGTGCTCCCAGAGATTAGAAATGAAACCAAAATGAATAAATCGCCATCCTTGTTGGTAATAGTGGAAGCTTTTTATTTTCCTTGAGGGGTGGGAAAGCAAATGATATCTTCCCTTTATCCAATTTTCAAATAGTCTGCAGGGAGCCGGGGATGGAGGGATGAAGACCAGACGAACAGCAACCAGAGGAAGATGAGAACGGTGGAAGCATTGTGAACCTCCAGCAAAGCGCTGTGAACCGTCGCTGATAGCTGTGTGACCATCCAATGGCTGTGGTTTCATGACTCTGAGGTCTCCTTGCCAATATTTTTTTCTTTTCTCCCCTAAACTTGCTCCCTTAGGCCCTGCTTTATGGAACCTCAGACAATAGTGACCTCTACACAGACACGACCATCCAGGCAGCTTCAGCCCAAGGCAGGACACCAGGATGCCCAGGACAAAGGTTTTACCCCAAGAAAAATTTCTCATGGGGTCAGATCACATTGCCTGGGCAGAGGGACTTTCTGTTTACCTCCTGATATTGTTTTCTCTCCTTAAGTGACTGACTCTCCCAGCCAAGTCCCATGCACTCCCATGCAAGAGGAATGATGTTTGCCTCCTCTGGGTTTGGGGGTAGGTACTGGTCTCCTGCCACTTCCTATCAAGGCCATGATCATTTTTAAGCTGTCGCTTCTCCAAGTCTTATCCTGGTGGCCTGGGCAATGCAGCTAGAGCTGGACTGCACCAGCTCCCACCTCCTACCCTTCACCCCTCACCCCATGCCCCCTCAGGGACCCCAGCATCTCTCAAAAGTTTCGGGTTATTTGTACGCCAATGGGAAGGCATTTATTAGTTGCAAACATTCAAATTAACACTTTTTCTTGTCTCTTGAATCTGCAGGGAAAACCAAGTGTGACTACTAATCACAGCTTTGGGGGATAAAAATAAATGGGAGTGTGGCAAGTTGGGGCCTTGATGCAGAAGAAAAATGTCTTCATTTGGTTGCAGCATTTGATATTTGAGGGTCAAGAGCTGGAGAGAGGACCCTGGGCCAGGAAGCAGTCTTACCCAACTCCCTCAGGGAGAGGCACAGTGTCTTCAGATACACCCTGGGCATCAGAAACCCAGGGCTGCCTCATGCATCTCTGTCCGTTTTTTGACAGTGGCAGAGCTGGGGAGGAAGTTGTCCAAGGGGTCAGTGGAAGGTCAGTGAAAGGTACAAAGGCACCAACCGTCATGGCTGCAGAACACAGCTGGTCCTTTTTTGCCCTCCAAGCCCCAAATTCCCTCCACTGTACCAGACCTAGCAGAATATTCATACTTGCTGCCACCCCCTACAAAGAGTTTTCTGACTACTCCAGCACACTTACAATCTCTTCATTTTGTTGAAGTACTTTTTCCACCACTCTTTTATCAATGTGACCTCTTTATAGAGTTGACTAAAGTCCAGTCATACTGTTCAGCTCTAATAAGATTTTCAAGCTGGGAAATATTAATACTGTCTTTAGTCTTGGGAAATTCTCAGCTATTACACCCTCAAATATTGCTTCTGCATCTTTTCTATTTTCTCCTCGTGGGACCCTTATATGCTGGAGATTTTTGATCTGTCCTCCAGATCCCTTAACTTTCTTTTCATGCTCTCCATCCTGTTACCTCTTCTGCCTCATTCTGGGACACTTTCTTCACTCAGTCTTCCACTTTCCTAACTCATTTGTTATTGTGGGCAACATGCCCTTTGGTCTACTGTGTGGTTTAAAACACACCTGCAAATACTTTGATAGTCCTTCCTCCATGAGGGGGTGTCTAACTCCTCTCCCCTTGAGTTGGGGCTAGTTTTAATGACTCTCATCTAATGAACAGAATATGGTGAAAGTAACAAGTGTGTAACTTCCAAGATTTGGTCACAAAAAGCTCTGTGGTTTCCTTCTTCCTTGTTCTATAATCACTTTCTCTGGGGGATGCCAGCTGCCAAGTTATGAGGACACATCAAGATACACTTTGGAGAGGCCCACGTGAGGAGGAGCGGAGGTCACCTGCCACCTTCCCTAGGAGGGAGTCACCTTAGAAGCATGTCCTCCAGCCCCAGTCGCACCTTCAGATGATGGCAGCTCTGGCTGACAGCTTCACAACAACGGAAAGAGACCCTAAACTGAAATCAGCCAGCTAAGCCATTCCTGAGTTCCTGACACAAAGAAATTGTGAGGTAATAAATGCTTATTGTTTTAAGCTACTAATATTTTGCAGGGTTTGTTAACTAATACACCCATAGAGTACATTTTACTTTGTATTCCAGTAGCTATTTGTTCATTTCTGACATTTCTAATTTTTTGTAAACACTTGTTTTTTTTCATTGCCTTCTGTTCATATTTCATTATTTCTATGCCCCCCTTATCTTTGAAAACATTTAAATTATTTATTTTCAAGCTTTTTTTATTGTCCTAATATCTCTTTTCCTTGGATGTTGGTTCATCCATTTGCTGAATTTGTTATTTGTCTTCCATGATATTTGACTTCCTGGGTGCTTTGTAAATTTTTTGTGTGTGAAATTATCTTTTATGAAAATTTTCTCCTATAAATACCCAGAAAACCCAGGGAAGTCTTAAGGAGGCCTTGATACTCAGTTCAAGCTTCTTATATCAAAGTAATCTGATGCCTGACCCTGGTCTTAAGCACGCAGCATGGTACCCAGATCCTGGGTGGAGCTTACCAGCAGCTTAGTCATAAGCCCAGGCAGGAAAGTAGGGTTTTGCTGTTGATGCTCCAACATTTAATGGGGAGAGTATGTTTCCAGGCCTTAGCTTTATATAAGCTGCACATAACTTCAACCCCCAGCTTTCAGGATAATGGGGTCCCAGCCCGAGTACATTGATTAGCCACTTCTATTCCTAGGACCCACAAGCCTAACAGCTAAGGCCTCCACATTTCAGTGTGGCCCATGTGTTAAATTATTCTATGGAAACCAGTCCATGTATAACTGGTAGAAATTTCCTGTCTTGATTTAAGCATAACTCTGTGCTTGTTAAATGTGTGTCCCCACCAAGGGAAAGGGGACCCTTCAGCCTGTGGCCAATGTATTCTCCATGTACCAGAAATCTTATTTGCTAACTTTCTACATTTATTTTTCCTCTCTCCCCAATCACACCATAAGCTTCTAAAAGTTAGAGACAGGATCAGGCCCTTTTTATTTCTCCTCATTGGGGGAGCAGGATGCCTTCAACGTGGGAGCTGCTCTATAAATATTTGATTGACTGACAGGTGAGGAGATGATGTGATGAAGAAGTCTGGGAGAAAAAGGAAATAAAACTTCTCCCATATTTCATCAGGATTTCTAATCAGACGTACCCTGCAGAATATATATATATATATATATATATATATATATATATATGCACACAATACACACAGAGAAACAAAATTCTGTGTTCAATTTCAGAGAAATACGTAAATTTAAAAATTAATCCTAAAATATAAAAATGTTTCGTCTTTGTGCCCCTTAATAAAATTTATTTTCGTGTTGTGAGTTACTTCTTTTTCTTGCCACTTACTAAGATCTTTTTTTTTAAGCAAACTGATTACTTTTTCTTTCTTTCTATTTTGTTTTTTGAAAGAAGGGAAATAAGGGAGAAAGAGATGGAGAAAAACATTGATGTGTGACAAAAACATTGATCAGTCACCTCTCACATGTCCCCAACCAGGGATCTGGCCCATAACCCAGGCATGTGCCCTGACAGGGAATCAAAATGGCAACCTTTGGGTTTGTGGGACAATGTCCAACCCACTGGGCACACCATTCAGGGCCAAAGATCTATTTTTTAATCACTAGAAATAATTCTGCCCAGTGTCCTCTGTTGACAGTCATGGAAATTGAGACCTGAGGGCCTATGTGATTTGCCCAAGCAAACCATGGTCTGAGCTCTGGCTGGGTGCAACTCTAGAACCAGATGTTCTCCACTATCTAGGCTGCTTCTCCTCATAATTTTGGGTCTAGGTATACTCTTACTAGTAGTACCACAGAAGAGTTAGAATTAACTCTAATCCTGTCAATAAATGACACTAAATTTTTACCAATTTGGAACCCATACTTCACCTTGCTTTACAAATACCACCTTGTTCCTGGAATTTTGCTGTGGGTCAGTAAAATCAACTGGTACATCTTAACACAGAACCTTTAATCTCAGTACCCTTAGCCAACTGAGTGTACATTATGCTCCCATCTGTCATTCAAGATCATTTCAGCCAACATTTATTCATGCCAGGCACTGCTCTCAACAAAGAAAATACAGAAACAAGCAAGATTTCCCAGGGCTCATTAGTTAATAGAATGATAGACATGTGGACACATAACTATGATAAAATGTCTGTGGTGAATTAGGGATATCAAAGTGGAAGACACTTCTAATGAATAAAAGTATAAATAATTTGGAAAAATGGGACTTC